TATTTTATGTTTTAATGCTCAAATATTTCTGTATTGTTATATCCGTGTATTCTAAATCCGGTCTGCGTACTCAGACTCTAAGCTCTGACGCACTAAAGTTTAACCACATTTCTGAGTGCAAGCGTCATGAAAATATGGCCTAGAGGCGACTTTAAGAAAAAGGGAGTAAACAAGTTTTATAATTCAAGATTCAAGATTCAAGATTCAAGATTCAANGGCTCCCTTTAAAATTTGAACAGTAGGCTCCCTTCAACATTTGAACAGTAGGCTCCCTTTAAAATTTGAACAGTAGGCTCCCTTCAAAATTTGAAAAACGGGGAATTTTCAAGTCAAGGCAACATGGTGAAAATGTTAATGCAATTATAGATATTGGAAGAAACAAAAACAACAACCCCCCCTACACACTAACCCTGCTGCGCCTTTGGGCTCATGGCATTTACTTTATTTGTAGATAGAAATGGTTCCTCTAGAAATGTTGACATTAATTTAATACATGGAAATTAAATAACAAAACAAATACAAATTACAATTATTATTGTTCAGTGCAAACACTAAGTATTCCAATATTTTGAAACCGTTAGGATCGTTTGCTATAAATTAACTGTTATACTTCTCTATAATTAAATGGAAAGTCAATAAAGATATTTTAATTACAGTCCCTTTAATGCCAACTTTTCATAAAGACAATTGAGAATATTATTCGTAAAAATTGAAATTGTTATTTAATAAATGTTTCCGCCCTCCCTTCCTCTTATCATAACAATAGTAGGTTAACATGTAACGTTTATCTTTAACATTTAATAAACTGCATTGTTCCCAACCAAACCAAATAAATATTTTNGACCCCCCCCCCTAGTTCCTCCCTTGCAATAATGTTAATTGTGGTAAATGATCATGTGTGACACTGTGTATTCAGGCACTCTCTAACATTTAATAAGCTACTTATTTTATGCAATTAGTTCAATAAATTCTAGATTTGGTTGAGTAGTTCTTGAAATATTTGAAACACTGTGCCGAGTTTTATATACTTCATAAACGATTTCATTAATCCATTTTCTGCAGTTCATGATTCCCTACAGCAGTACACTGATCTTTTTCATTGCAATATTATTAAACATAACAAAAAATGGATATATTTTGGGCAAAAACACAAGTTTAACCTTTAAATCTTAAGATTTATAAAGAATTACGTCCTTAAAAAAAGTTGAGATCCATTATGGGGAACCTTCCTAGATACATTAGAATAGACAGTTAATGCCAAGGTAATAAGGTAAGGAAAGTTAATTGCTATTGCGTATTCTTTGCGTACATATTGAAACCAGTTCTCTCTGGGCGGTATTATAAACAAGAATAGATGCATCAGTGTTCGTTTAGTATACGAGGAGGAGAAAAGCATTTAATCTTTAAAATTTTGATAATTCAAATAATAGTTTTCTATGACCAGAATATTTTATTGATTTTTTATGTGAAAGATGGCTCCCATGTCAGGCTGTGAAATCTGTCTTGTGTTTACATTACCACCCAGAGACAGTACACTGCAGTACTAAAAATGCGTACACCTCTGAAATAACTATCTTTACATTATAATTTTTTGAATGAACATACCTTTTGATTGCGTCATTGACGTGTTAATGTTAGAGCAACAACTATAATATAATGGAATTTATTAAATTGGAGAGTGGTCGCTGAATTGCCTGCTGCCAGTTCAAATCCTCCTTTTCAGATTCAAAGTTAAAGATTCATGAGAATTTTAAACGTTGATTCAGGATTAAAACCGGGGATAGGTTATAGTGATAACCCGAAAACAATTGAATAGGAAGACGACATTATAGAAATACATAAGTGTATTTTATGTCCTTACGGAGTTAATAGGTTTACTTTACTAGTATCTTATTAAATCACTAATTTATTGAAATGGGTATTACTTCACTCCACAATTGCTGTGTCTCATGCTCATTAAACTTTTCAAAGTTATAACTTGAGTCTAAAACGATTATATGGAATTTGTTTAGTCCGTTTCTTACATTCAGGGTTCTTTGTAGGACAAAACTGACATTTCTGTGCTTCATCATTTAGTTTACAATCAAAATGCTCAATTGAATGCAGTAAACGAAAATCAAGCTTCAAATCGTCATATTTATAGAGTTTTCGGTCGTCTTTACAGGCTCATCCTTTGTGGGTAACCCTGTATAAGATAGATGTTTGTAATCGATACAATGTTAAATGTACAATAACGGTATATTGCAGAATTATCGTTGATATATTACAACGGATCTTCATGGCTTGGTGCGTGAACTAAATACTGTTGATTGTAAGCGGGTTTTTCTAACAGTGTACTCCAACGAATTTCGGGGAACTCCGAATTTGCAAAAATTCTTGGTTTAGCATGAGTTTAATTTAATTTAAACGACAAATAAATAAGAAAAACTTTCGCGTTTTTGCAACTTTTTTTTTCTAAAATCTCGAAAACCTCCACAGAGAATACTTGTAAAAAGTCTTTTGTTTACTAAATTTTCACTTTAATGCAGTCAATCTTGTTCGAGATTGTCATTCAATAAAAAAATGTTCGATATAATTTCCAAATCTGCCGAATATTTAGCATTTTCGAGCAGTGCTTCGAAATACGCAAAAATACGCTGTTTCCGATAAAGCAGGAGCAATTCCTTTGAAAATTTGAAAAAAACAATGGTTGAAATATTGACGAAAAACGATTATTTAATGTTAGTTATTATTGACCCGCTTCGATAACATAATTTTTTTGTACAGCAAGTTGAGAAAGGGTGGTAATTATTTCATGAATTTTAAATTTATTGGTAATGGTAAAAAGAAACATAAACAATTAAAAAAGATTTTAGGTTGGGGGGGGGGGGGGACAAGAGTTTAAAATTAAAAGAGAGTTTTAAGCGCTGAGCATATAAAACCACAGCTTTTGTTACAAATTATATTTATAAGGTTTAAAAAAAATTGCAAAAATTTAGATATGCTGTAAAAAAAGTAGGAAATCTAGAAACGTTCGTTTTTTAGTAATGTTAAGCCCCTGGGGGGCAAATTTAAAGAACATTTTAATATTTTTACCTCGACCTTTTTACATCGTTTGGTCACTACTCACTCCACACGGTTTCTGAGAACTTTTTGTCTTGTATTTTTCTAAATAATTGTACAGGGTGGGAATTAAGAAACGACTGATAAATCGTCTTTGCTCCATGTGGGATTTTCTTTGCTGAACACACTTTTAGTGGTGATCTAATTAAAGCGCTATACTATACAGATTACACCAAGTTCAATCATATTTTCAAAAGTGACGTACTTAGTACTAAATGTGTCCTGATTCCAAGTTATTGAAAAAAAATCAGACTTGTTTAGATATTTAGTTATTGAAAGAGAGTAGACCACATTTATCATTTATCAACATTAGGAGATCAAAAATTATTTTCGTATGCATATAATCATATTATATTAATTATAGTATATTATATATAAAACTTGCTTGGGAACTCAGCGCTGCCTAGGTTACTAAAAGTTACTCCCGCCGTTTACCCGCACTTGAAACTGAATTTTCGCTATTAAAGTCGATCTACTCATCTTAGAATCTGAAAACCAAGCTAAGAACATTCCCAAAGGGTCTCTTGAGTTCTCTTGAGGCAAATCGGTCCAAGGGTTCCTGAGTTATGATCGGACAAACAAACAGACAAACAAAGATTACAACTTAATATATAAATATACAAAAGAGTAGATCTATATTGCAGAATATACTACAAATAAGTCATACATAGATATACAAAGATTAAGATAGAAAGAGAGAGGAAGTATGTTACAGCTTGCAACTGTTATTTTTTTCTTCCTCATAACATCTTATCAATTCATCATTCAAGAAATCATCATTTTTCTAGCTTGACAAGTGATTAATTCTGATACTTACGCAAGTCACTTGTCTACACTCAATCTAGAGAAACCACAACAGTTTTCAAAAACAAAAACAAAGATTTCTTTGTTATACTTGATAAGAAAAAGCTGTTTCGCATCGTACATTCAACTCTACTATTATTTATATTTAAAAAAAGAAGAAAATCTTAATTCCAAATAAAAAATTATAAATAAAAGTTTTTAAGAATGAAAACTGTAATAATGATAAATGTTATTGTTCTATTGTGTGCAATGGGAAAATAATAGAAAAATACTACATATGCATTAATTGGATACAGGGTCTCTAGTTTCTACTCCAACAGGGTCTCTAGTCTCTACTCCAGGGTCTCTAGTCTCTACTCCAGGGTCTCTAGTCTCTACTCCAGGGTCTCTAGTCTCTACTCCAGGGTCTCTAGT